AGGAGGAGGAGGAGTAGGATGAAGAGGAGGAGGAGGAAGAGGAGGAGGAGGAAGAGAAGGAAAGCTGGAACAAGAGATAACATCGGAAGACGACGATCAGCATGCAGGGGAGGCGGCGGTGCCCTCCCACGAGCCTGTTCCCCTCAGGCCGACCTGGCCGTCCTGGGGTGGTGCTCCATCCGGCGCTGTGGGCAAGCGTCTTCGAGCCCAGAGGACCGAAGTTTAAGGCCGACGCTGCGGGAGAGGTGCCCCTCCCTTCTCCTCTTCCTCCTCCTCCTGCTCCTCCTCTTCCTGCTGCTGCTGCTGCTCCTCCTCCTCCTCATGCTCCTCGTCCTCCTCCTTCTCCTCCTCCTCCTCCTCCTCGCCCTTCCTCCCCCTCTCTGCTCCTCCTGGCAGCGGGGCTTCGGAGACCCTGAGTCTGGGGGGACCTCTGGGGCGCTCGGCGCGCGCGCGGTGCGGGCCCTCCCGCAACCCCCCGCCGCGCCGCGCTCGCCTTCTGAGCTCGGCCACGAGCGCGGCGGCAAGGTGGGGCTCCGCGGCGACACCTCCCGGACGGGCAACGGGCTGTGGCAAAGCCCGGTCCTGTGCCGGATAGCCGCCCTGCTCCTCCAGGTCGGGTCGCCCGCCAGAGTCAGCCCCCCAGCGCTAGGCCAGCGCCCCTGCCGCGGCCGCAGCGCCGTCGCGGTAGCCTACTGCGCCTGGGCGCGCGCCCCGTGGCCCGCGCGCCAGCCAGCGTGCCCCAGGCAGCACCCTGGCCATCGCCCTGGGCAGCCCAGCGCCGGGCAGTGCGCCGGCAGCCCGCGCCTGGCCCCCGCAGCAGCTGTTCCGTCGGCGCTTCCGGCCCCAGTCCGGCGCTGCGCCAGTCTCCCCTCCGCGCCCAGCGGCCGCGCCTGCACTGCCAGGGCCCCGTCTCCCGCAGCCAGAGCGTGCCGCCGCGCTCAGTCAGCAAAACCCAGTCTGGCGCGGCGCCCGGGCGGGCTCGGGCCGCCAGGGTCGGCCAGGCGTCGCGCCGCGCCAGCGGGCAAGGCGGCCGTGCAGGGCGGCGGCCAGGCTCTGGCGAGCTGCCGCTAGCGTCGCCGGGTCGCCCGCTGCCCAGGTTCCTGCGCCTCCTTCCCGGCTCGCCCATGCGTCTCCAAGGCAAAAGCGACCAGGGCCAGGTCTGGGTAACGCTTGTGTTTGCGCGTCTCCGCCGCCGCCGCCGCGGCCCCGTCGCGCATGCCGCGGCTCCGTCCAGCGGCCGTGCCCGCGCCCAGAGACGCGTCGGTGATCACCACGCCAGCGTAGGTGACCCCTGTGACCGAGTCGGTGAAGGCCACGTCCAGCCGCGCGGTTTCGAGGGTTCCGTCGTGGCGCAGTCTGTCCCGGATTGGGACGAGTTGCTCCGTCCTCACGCCCGTGGCGCCCCGCGCCGCCAGCCACTGGGCGAGCCAATCCCGGACGCCGTCGTGCTTCAGTACAGTGCCGCCCCCGACTGGGCAACCCAGGGGATGCCCGGGGTCCGCGCGCAGGTCGGCCCCGCAGCGGGGAGGCGCCGGAGGCAGGTGGCGCTGACGCCTGTCGGCAACGGCAAACGGAGCCGCAGGGCCACCCACCGCAGGGCGGAAGTGCTCGTCCGGGAGGACGTGGTCTGCCTCCGTGGGCGGAAGCAGCCAGCTCCCCGCGCCCTTTCCGCTGGCAGAGCGGAGGCTCGCCAGTTCGGCCGGCGGCAGGGAGGCGAGCAAGTGGGCGCGGCGCCGCTCCTGCGCCGGCTTCGCGAGGCGTCCTCGCGCTCCGTCGCGGCGCGCAGCTGGGCAGCCGCGTCTGCGCCCGCCGAGTGCCCGCCTCGGAAGCAGTTGTCCAGGTCCGAGGGCGGACGGCGGTAAAAACTTCGAGGCTCGGCAGCTCGAGCTCGCGGCGCACCTCGGCCAGTCAGGAGCCCGCGGAGGCGGGCTGTCGGCGCCCTGCGAGGCTTTGTAAGCCGAGCCCCCCATCTGCCAAGGGGAGGCAGGCCTGCTCGCGCGCCCTCGCAGTCAAGGGCTGCCGAAGCACGTCTTGCAGGTGCTCCAGGACCCCGCTGTCGTAGTCGGCGCACCAGGCCTTGTTGAGCAGGTGTGCGCGCGCATGGTGCAGGGCAGCTCCGTTCGCGAAGGTGCGCAGGAGCGTCAGCTCGTCCTGTGCCCGCAGGCCTTGCTGGCGCAAGGTCTCGAGCGCCGTCAGGTAGGCCGCCAAGTGCCGGGTCGCCGTTTCTGGCGCGGCCGCCACGCCGAGGCTGGCCGCCGCCGGGTCGCGGTCGTCGCCGAGACCCTCGGCCGCGGCCCCGCCGAGGAAGGGCAAGCGGCTGCCCGCGCAAGTGAGTTTGGGGGTCTCCGCCTCGGCCTGTGTCTGCGGCAGCTGCAAATTGTGCGGGTTCCACACCTTGGTTTTGTCCTCGTTGAGTCGGAGCCCGCGCGCTGCGTAGAAGCCCGGCGCGGCTGCTTTGGCGGCGGCGACAGCCTCTGGCGTGCCTGCGAGTAGACGTCGTCCATGTACCCCACCACGATGGCGCCCGTGTCCCGCCGCAGCGCGTGCTCCAGGTCCTCGTGGAGGGCCTCCGTGGCCGTGGCGAAAAAGGGCGGCCAGAGGGGCAGCCTTGGTCGAGCCCCCGCTCTGTTGTCACCGGGGTGACAGCGCATGAGAGGTGCGCGCCGTGCGTGGTCGCCCCGCCGTACCACGCAGCTGCGAGGCGCGCGAGGGGCGGGAGCCTGCGCGAGACCTCGCGGACGACGACGTCCCGATCGACCTCGTTGAAGGCGTCTGCCACGTCAAGAGACAGCACTGCCCTCTGAGGTGCTGTCTCCACGGAGCAGGCCACCACCTTGTGCAGCAGCTCGACGCCGCTGCACCACCCCACGCCGTACTGGCAGGGCCCCACCGCCTGGGCGATGAGCTCCTTGTAGGGCGCAGTCGCCGCCTTCGCCGCCATGCGGCGCAGCGTCTCCCCGCAGGCGACGGGCCGCACCCCGCCATGTGGCTGCTGGAGCGGGATCAGGCGGCCGCCCAGCAGCGCCTGCGCTGCCAACGCGGGCGCCTCGCCGCGCAGGATACAAACCAACACCTCGACCAGCGCCGCCTTGCCTTTGCGTGGCCGCGTATGGTTGCCCAGTGCCCGAAGCGGGCGCCAGTGAGCCCCGGGCCGGAGTGCCGCGGGAACTTCTTGAGTGATCGCGCCACTTCTTCTGCAGCTGTCTCTTCCCAGTTGTCCGCCTGCGGCAGCGGCGGCGCGCGGCGCTCCTCCCCCCTTTTCCTCCTTTTTCTCGTCCCTCCTCCCCAAAACTCCTCCCTGCCTCCTTCCTTCCTCCTCTCCTCCTTGTCCTCCCTTGTCCTTCCTCCCCTCCCTCCTCCCCTGCCTACGGCTGATCGTTTTTGTTTGTGTGTTTGTTTGTTGTTTCCGTGGCCTCGCGCGAAACTCTTTCGGCCGCAGCGTAAACGTGGGTCGTGCCCTCGCGTGCCAGAAGCCAGCGGTAGAAGGCAGACGCCGACGGTGCCCTGCGGCCGCATGCTAGCCGATCGTCATGTCATCCACGCCCCCGACCGTCATGCCATGCCCTGCCATCATGTCATGTCATGTCATCCACGCCCCCGTAGCCGCATGTTAGCACGTCGTCATGTCGTGTCGTGCCATCCGCGCTCCGACCCAGCGAGGGGCCACCGAGGCGGCAAGGAGAAAGTTCTGGCCTCCAGGGCCGCGTTTCTTCAATCATGCCCTGCTTCCCCTGGCGCCCCCTGGCGCCCAGAGGGGGGGCAACACCAGGAGCATGGATCGAGCGTCGATCGTCGACGTGCGGCGGGCGCCGCGCCCCACCAGGTGCTCCCAGCGCGGCCTGCAGCGGCACTTCCGCAGCGGACCCCCAGGGAGCTCCGCGGCCGTGGGCGGCCCGCCGCCCTGGATCGCCCTGGTGCTGCTGCAGGGCCCGCAGGCCCCGCAGGGGGGAGGGAGGGCCGAGGGGCGGGCGCGCGCGCAAGGGGGGCGCTCGCTTGCAACTTACAGTGCGTAACGTCTCGTACACTGCGCTTTCGACAGTGCTCGATCGCCATTCGCACTTCCATCAGCTGCCCGCGCTTGAGGACCTTCTGCTCCGCCGATTTAGGAAGCAAGGGGGCGCGGCCCCGCTGCTGTGTATGAGGGAACGGTGTGGGGCCCGCTTGATCGGGGGCCGTGCGTCAGCATTGTCTGGCCTCGCCCATCCTCACCAAGGTCCACCTCGATCCGATCGTTCGATTCGATATCGGTTCTGGCCAGCCCGATCCGATTCGATTACGGTATTCTGACGATATGATGTGGCCCGATGTTTGCATGGTTCTGTTCGGGATCCAGGCGCTGCCGGGCGGATGCGATACAGCCCGATTCAGGGCAAATTTGATGCTGATTGGTGATGATGATGCTGCTGATGATGATGGTGGTGGTGGTGATGATGATGCTGATGATGATGATGATGATGATGATGATGATGATGATGATGATGATGATGATGATGATGATGATGATGATGATGATGATGATGATGATAGGTCCTGTCCCCACTTGGCCATGGGAGACCCGAAGGAGCAGGCCAGAGGGGTCAATGGCCTAGGCCATGCCAGCGGGGATTGGGATCGGATAAGCGATGCTCAAGGGGGGTAGCGTGGGATCCAGCTTCTCGGGGGCCGTAAGGATGCCCCCCCCCCCCCCCCACACGTCCTCTTCGTCGTGAAAAAATCATGGTGGAGGGCTTTCAGCAGTTTTCGGCCTGCGGAGGCCTTTAGCGGGCCCCGTGGCCGCCAAGACACGATTCGGAGTGCAAATGCAGTCCCAGGAAAGGGGCCTAGACTTCTAGGGGACCGCGTTGTTAACAGAAACGGTGTTGGAGATTCGGGGCTCTTCCTGGGGAGCCCAACCATCCAGCGGGATAATTACTTCGCGGGACCGGATCCAGGCCCGAAAGTCGACCACCTTCGGGGGTGATGGTGGGAAGAAGTCCAGATCATGCTCTCGGAGAGGGTGGGGCCTCCGAGATTGCTGGAGGTGGCCAGGACATTCCGGAACTCCTCGCACCGTGAGTGTTGTCGCTCTTCCTCCTCTTTTTCCTCTTTGTCCTTGTCCTTCCTTGATCAACCTCCCCCTCCGCCTCTGTCCTCTCCCCTCTTTTTCCTCGCGCTCTTCCAGAGCTCTACACACCGCTCTGGCCGTTTCAAGAAGCTCGACTCTCGCCTGGAGAGCCCTCGAGAGGGTCCTCGAACCCCCCAGATTGAGTTTGACTGCTTTTGCGTGTCCGAGGCCTCTACTGGGACCTCTTGTAGCGTCTCTTGAGGTAAATTGTGCGCTCTTTGGGTCGTCCTGTATCCATCTCGGAGCGCCTGGGGCCATCATGGGCTGTCAGGGCGGTCTTTGCCTGGCCTCCAGAACTGCCCAGAAGCCTCATGCAGCCGAAACGCATCCTGGATCCCTTAGGCCAAAGCGGCGTCTCTTATCTCCGAACGCAGGGAGGATGTTTTGCTTTTTGCTTTCTTGGATCTCTATTTTTTTTTGAGAGGGGGCTGGTCGCCACGGCTGGAATTCCTGGCCAGAGCGCGCTCCCGGAGAGGTCTGGGCACCGATCCGGCTCAGACCTCCCAGGGCGTCGCGGAACATCGGTTTCGGCCCTTGGTCCGAAATCTGTGGCGTCGCTTATCTCCGAACGAGCATGCAACTTTACGAACTGCTTGTTACGCTGATGAGGATTGATCTCCTCGGTTGCCGAAGCCTCGTCCGGGCAGCCCGATGGCCCCCACGGGGGAGGCCTGCGGATGTTTTTTGCTTCTTCTCCTTGCTCCTCTGCGCGTTGATGTTCCCTGCAGGGCCCCCCTGGCTCCCTGGACCTGACCACCCCCACTGGACCTTCAGCCAGCCAAGCTCTGGGCCTCCTGGGCGGGCCCCGTGAGAGCGGCTGTTCCCTTGGTTCGGCAACGCGGCCCCTGCGCCGACGCGACCACAATGCACCCTCGCTCAGCATGCTCCGCTTTCTGCGGGGACGTCTGCCGTTGGGATTTGTTTTTGTTGACGGCGGTCTGGGGGCGGCTGCATGTGGCGCGAGGTGGGGCAGCCATGCGCAGTTCTGTTCCCAGGGCTTGCCCTTGCGCGTCGCAGCCTGAGGCCCCTGCGGCACGAGGCCATAGTCTGCCGTGATTCGGGAAGATGCTCGGAACGGGCACGGAAAGAGCGGGACAGAGACCGACAGCATGCCGCGTCCGTTTGGAATCAGATTCGCTGTCGGCGTCGTCGCGGACGTGGTCCATTCGAGACAGAAGGCCGCATGCCAAACAGCGAGCGCTGTTGGTTTTGGACAACGTCTTTTTGTTGGGCATCGTATCCATGTTCTCCGTACCCATTTCGGGCGTCCGAGCCCGCAGCTCCCGAAGCGGGTCCCACACCCTTGAGGCCAAGGTGGTGGGTGGCGTGTCCTTGCGGACGCCGTGTTCAGGCTACAACACCTCAGCATTGAGTCCTGCGTGGATTTCGAACTTTCTCGGCAACAATCGAGCCGTCGGTGCGCGAGAAAAACAGTTCTGAATTTTGAAGCGAATATGTAAGCTGCGCGTGCTTCGGAGTGGTCGTCGAATAGCCTCGGGTAATGATGCCGGCGGGCCCCACGTGCTTCCACCGCGTGCAGAGTGCATCAGGCTTATCCTTCTTCAACTTGCCCCCTGCTATTTCAGTTGATGCTGCTGTTGCTGCTGCTCCCCCCCCTCCATCATCACCGCCCTTATCTCTCTTCCTCCTCCTCCCCGCCTGCTTGTCCTCTATTCTCCTCCGTAGCCATTTGGCTCAAGGTGTTGTGTTTCCCAGGGAAACAAGTGGATACCGCTAGTCCGCGGCTAGACCCCAGTCTTTCTCATCGCACCGCTGCGTGAGCCGCCCCAGGCGACGCAGCTTCCTGTTTGACTCATGACTCAGCGATGGTGCCCAGCCCGTGGCACAGGGAGGCCAAAGCAGATTAGATGTGCAAGTTTTGCATTTTTCGTCGCACTGGCCTCCCTCTCATCAATTACGGCAGCAATAAGAAGTACTTCAAGTGTAAGCTCCACAAGGGCGTGTGCTTCAAACAGGTTGTTGCCGACGACGCCCCGAGCCGCAGCACCAAACGCAAGCCTCCTGGGGGTGAGCCATCGGCAGCTGCGATGGCCAATCTGGAGAAGCGGTTGCAGTCCCTTGAAGCAGAGAACCAGCGCCTTCGTGCGCCACAAGACGGAGGGGCGGCTGCGGATGAGGCTAATGAAGCTGATGAGCTGCGTGAAGAAATCGATGGTCTGGTCAAGCATGTGCAGTGGCTGGAGTCCATCAAGCTGCCCTGGGCTGCTCAACCTCTCCTGGTGGCACGAGAGCAGCTGGAGGCAACCCGTCGGAAGTTATATGACACTACGCCCCTACCAGCGAAGCTTACGGCGCTTTCGAGAAGAGCTGAGCAAACCCGTCAGCGTCGGCAGAAGGCCGAGCAGGACAAGATCGCAGCTGACAAAGCCCTGGCAGCAACACAGCTTGCAGCCACGACGGCGGCGAACGTCGTCGAGGAACGCAAGAAAGTTGTGGAGGATCTGGAGGAAGAAATCAGAGCTCTGTCCTCGCAGCCTGCCCCGCAGCCGATGGACGTGGACCTCACGGGGCCCGAGTTCCACATCGGCGAGGAGAAGCTGCTGGCCTGCTTGGGAACCATGGAAGGGGTTGCGGATGCCAGCAAGCTGGCGCCGAAGCTCGTCGAGGCGCTCAAGTCTCGGGCTGCGGAGCTTCTGCAGGAACCGCCTGAGAAAAAGACAAAGCGCGAGACGTCGCAGCCACCCTCGCAGGAGCAGGGCTCACGCCCCCAGCACAGTGAACGGAAGTTTGCAGAGTTGGATGTGGAGCAGCTGCGCCAGGACGTGGCCGAGTTCGTTGCGGAGAACGCGGAGGAGTCCACCCTGCGCGAGAAGGCCATGCGCCTGGCGGCGGGTGGCTACAGGACGCCACGGCTACATCATCCCTACTGGTTGCCCCCGCATGCTGGACCTCGGCATGTTTGGGGGCAGCACTCTTGCTCATTATCTTTGTGAAGCTGGAAGCCGCAGCGCCGCTCTCCCCCATGAGCCTGGTTCTCTGGGCGACGAGGTGTGCGGGCCCGTGCTGGGGCCCTGGTTTCCCTTCGTCGCCTTTGCTCGACAAAGTTCATCAAAACGTCAACTCTGGACTAAAGCCTCACGGTGCCAAGGTCCCGCTTCCTGCAATTACGTATGGTGGTGCAAGTTTTCCTGATTATTCGGGGTTACGGCTGTGCAGCTACCGCCAGCAGGACACCGAGACCATCGGCTCTGCTGCCCCTTCCTCCTGTAGAGTGTTGGGAGATGAGTCGTCTGCGCCGTGGTGGTCCCGGGCCTCGAGTTCGGCTCAGGATGCTGCGGTGATAGGCAGCATGCAGATGTTGGTGGCTTCCGTCTATGGCATCGCCAGCCTGGGCCAGTCAGGCAACCGCGAGCTCTTCGCGGCATTAGTTCAGATTTTGCGGGAGTCGTGTCTCCCGTTTGTTGTGGCAGGCGACTGGAACGTCGAGTCTGAGTGTTTCGGTCGAGATGCCTTTCTTCGAGCTGGCTTCCTTGGTCTCTTAAGCGCTCGTCAGCGACATCCTGCGCCCTTGCATCAGGGGCGTGGGTGTGATTGACGACGCTCCTGCGGGCCCCACAGGGCTGTGGTGCTGAGGCTGTCAGGGCTCGGCGGTGCCAATGTTCAAAATTGGCAGCAGGAGAAGTTTCTGCAGCCCTCCGCAGAGCAGCCTTTTGTTCCTGGAGAGGTCTCGACTTGGCCAGGTTTTGAGCTTGGAGAAAATGAATCGCTGGACAGCCTTGCGCGCAGGTGGTTTTCTTCGGCTGAACTCTACCTTAGCCTCTTTCTGGCTATCCCCGTCGCCGAGAGACCGAGATTTTGCGGTCGCGCGGC